CATACAATTTTTCTTAGATAGAGAACGAACTTGACTGACAGATAACACATTTTCAGAACGACTTCGACGATTTGGTAAAGCTAAAGCAAGAAAACAACTAATTCGAATCTAAAAAATCAATATCTTCTGGAGACTGTCTTTCTCTCTAGTATGTAAAAATGGCTGGTTATTTGTTACTGATTACGCCAAAAGCTTACAGGCACCTATCCCAGCGGAAGGAGCGGGGAGCCGAGTGTATAGCCTTACTTGCAACTGTTAATAACGTCCGAAGAACTTTTGCAAATAAAAACCATTTGTGACCATTTGCTGCGGCACTTTTTCCCGAAGCAAAAGTAGGGAAGAATCCTTTTCTGAGCCACAAAGAAACGGAGAAAAGTATGTGGAAGTGCAAATTTGCAAGCGTTTTTCGACATTTGTCGTATCCTCCCACTCATAAGAAATGGGTGCCCCCAACGAGGCTCCTTCAGCCGGCGGTCAGGGCATTGTTTTAGGGCGATGTGCAATAGAAAGAAATTAAATCTAGATTAACTACTGGAAATGAAATGGATCTACAAGGAGTCTACGTAAGACCTGGTGTCTTATCAGAAAACGACAAATTCAACTATTGTGGAGAAAGTTCCTTTCAAATGGAGCATCAATCGAACAAAAGCGAGCCATCATAGAAGATAGCATCTCAACCTTAAGAAAAGAACTAAAATGAACTTTCCAGCACACCATTCTGCTAAGAGTGATCTTCTCAGCTAACTAGTAACGGCTTAGAGTAGAGGTTAAAGTCCATTTTTTCCAAAAGGATCTTTTGTGGATTTATGCCACGAGTAATAGCATTATTGCAGGTTCACTACACCCCGCCGTTTCTATTCTGGTTACAATGAGATAAAAACTCACAATGAAATAAAAACAAGTTCTTGGGAAATGCCTCAACGTTTTATAAAGGATCGCACAAAATAAAGCAAATAGGTCCATTTTACTCCATCAAACACTTTTCTTTTATAAACTCAATAACAGAAGATCCATAATTTCAAACAAAATTAAATCATTTGTGCAATACACATTCTCTAGCACAAGCTTGCCAAAAAAATTAAATCATTTTAGAAAGTCTTCATGATTTCACAAATGAATGCCAGACTCCATATATAGGTACTTTGAAACAACATGGTAATTCATAGCGAGTATAAAGCACAGACGAATTGTACGAGCAAGTACTCCATTTGATTCAGACAACAAGATAGTAGATCCAAATCAGCTTGCGAATACATGTTACTATTAATGTACTTTCAATTAGTAGTTATGTTGTCAAATGTTAAAGACTGCCAATTCTCCGAGCGTTGCCGGTTCTGCCTAGTAATATCTTCCAGTTGAATTCAATTTCTACTTTAATCTAGTTTATAGCTAAGACGAGATGTTAGAAGCACTCATTAAAAACCGCTATAACTCGGAATATGTCACTTCTCAAAATCCTACAGTTACACCATTGTGGCTGGACCACTGCTGACTCCGCCCCGCTGGAGCTTTGCCAAGTTGTTTATTGATTGATTTCAATTCTCAGGCTGTTGGCTCAATTCACTTCGTCTGCGTAATCACCATGATTCTTCCATGATGTAGGGCGGAAAGCGACAAAATTCGAGAAACTCTCGTATAAGATTACGTCATTGCTCAACTATTTCAGCGCTTTTTGCCTAAGCATGATAAGGGGAGGATTCTTTGCTTATGGCACAAAAAGGAACTCTGGGAAGGAAGATGAAGTGTCAAAGATATGCGAACGTGACTCGGTTTGGTTGCCTTGGGCGTGCTTCCCCTTCTTCAC